ATTATCGCATTGTATTTTTGATTAGATCAAACATCCTTTATATTAACTTCTTTCGTTTTCACTCGATGATTTATTCTTTGTATCTTTCACATTTAATCGTCAATCATTTTTAATTAATTATTGTATTATGGTAAAGTTACTGATATAAAATTACCGATAATTTTTAAAACTCATACGATAAAATTTATAACAAAAGAAGAATCCAATACATTTCGATGTGTCATTTAAATAATCGGAAATTCTTAGTGTGTTACATCTCGGTTATAGAAGTCATAAAGAAAAAAATTTCAAAACTATTCGCAATTCTGATAGAAAATCAATCTATTCAACGGACTAAAATATTATTTTCATTCACACATTTTCTTACTTTGCACGATAAGTATGAAGTATATGAGGGGGGAAAAAAAGGAGCGCGAGGAGACGTCTCAAAAATATAGAAATTTAATTATATAGATAGATTATATAGAGAAATATATTTTATGATAATCGAACGTCGATGATTCACTCTAGGCGAGGGTATGAAACCACCAGCACAGAGAGCAGCGCCGGCACCACCACGGCCCCCGCCTACGGTGTTAATGGGTGAAATCGGAGGCGTCCGTACGATGATATGGTCGGCGCCGCCGTTGGATCCGGTACCACCGCCGGCGGCATCCTGGTCGGCTACAGCAGCAGCAGCCGCCTCGTGTTCTTCGACCGAGGAATCGGCTGCACAGCTGTTACTGAACCTCGGGCAGGAGTCTAGGGGTAAACCACCCTCATCTTCCTCCGCGGTTTCGTATTCATCCGCCGCCGGACCGCCGCTCAACATGGAGAGGCTGTGGGCCGGCGACCTGACGCAGCTGCCAGCCGCGCAACAGATGCAGGCGCTGAATCTCACGGCATCCGGTTCCGCCGCGCAACCATGGGTTAGCAATGGCGGTACCATCGTCAAGTCCGAAGCGGCCTCGCAGTCCATATCGGTAGCACCGCCGGCACCCCCCATGCCACCCCAGGAGCACGAAGAGGACGAGACACCTATGATATGCATGATCTGCGAGGACAAGGCGACCGGCTTGCACTATGGCATCATCACGTGCGAGGGGTGAGTATGCTTACGAGATTATATATGAGTTAATCCTTTCGCGCGGCAGTTAATCCTATTATTATTATTACATATACAGATGTATGCCATGACAAATTTGATCGCGATTATCTTTATGTATTGTTTCTTTAAAATATTCCTTTGATAAATTTTTTATTGAATATTTTTTTTTTTTCAAATTATAATTATTCTTAAAGTTTCCTTCTAATAGAAATTTTTGCAAAATATTTCATAATTATTTACACATGTAGAAGATTAAATCCAATTGAAAGCGATCTAAACGGATACGGAGAAAGAAGAGCAAAGATGTTCTATTTATAATACTATGTTCGTGTGTAATAATTCCACTCTTGTAGCAACAATAATGCATTCGCACGTAAAATGCGATCGAGTCGCATTAATGAGATTGGTTAACTAGGATAGAAATTTATATGAGTGTCTTTCGACTGCATCGCAATTCAAGAATCGACCGACATTTGCTTAATTAGATCTAATTATATCGAAACTTGCAATATAGCCGTATGATTAGTCGTTCGGAAACGTAGATATAACTTGCCCTAACCTTTGACCTTTGCCAATACGAGGAAATGTGCCTAACCATATTTTACAGAGAAGAAATATCAAGTTACGAATGAACTATTCCCAGAACATGTTCGTACTATCAATCCATTCACAAAAAGTTCGCACATGGAAGACAAGGATTGTTTCTTTCATTTATCGTTACTATTTATTTTCTTGAAGCTTAATTGAATCTATTTTTTTATACTTCAAATCACTCTCGAAGAAAAATCAATACAAATTAACAAACATTCTCTTACTGATAAAAATCTTTTAAACACAAGCAAATTAAACAATGTTTTATAATATGGTTCGTATTTTATATTTTTATTATTCGATTTGCAATAATTTGTAATGCAATTAATAATTGTTATCTCTCAAAATTAAATCTTAAACGTGAAAAAAGACATGGAAAATATGACATGAATAATTAAATTCACAAAGAGAGAAATTAATATATTTCAACAAATAAAGAATAATACTTGAGATGCCTTGCTTCTGATTTGTTAGTAATGAACCGAAAAGAATTTTTTTTACTTTTTCTATAATTTGAAAAATTTACTTTATATTGTCATACAATACTTTCTTCTTTGATTACTTTCTTCTTTGATTATCTCGAAGTATTAAGAACATTCATAAATTTCGAGACATATATTTCAAGATTGGAATCTATATATTTGCTTTCACTTTTAATTTACTTTCTCTTTCAATTTTGTAAAATGGTCATCGTTTAAGTTTATCGGTTAATGAAACAAGATACTCCATCGAAATATATCAGTTTTTGCGCGAACATAATGAACGATTCATAACTTGAACGAGATTAAAAATTAATAATTCCGATAATTCCATAATTTTCTCGCCCTGTCCCCATATCATTTCTGTTCTAAGGGGGAAACGGGGAATACTTGTTGCGTCTACTTCGTTGCGTATACTTGACTTCTTGAACAACACTTTTGATTAGTTCGTGAAATTACCACGGGGTATCGTTATTTCTTCACTCTTGTCTAACTTCTTGTCTAACTTTGTCATTTCGAATGAACAAGTGGATTAGACGAGAAAAGTCTGAGACAAGTTTTTTTCTCGCATCCATGTAACTCGTAACTCTGCGTAAATGAATCCTTGATTTATCCTCACTATCTCTAGAAATGCTTCTTAATAATAAACAATTCAACCCGTAACAATATATATTTCTATTCTATTAAAGAAACCAACAAAAAAAGTATAGAAACATTTTATATTTGAAAAAAGAGCTATTTGAAAAAAGATCTATTTGAAATAGCTGACCCGTCGTCTTCTCGATTTTTTAAAGTAATTGAATTTTTTTATCGTCTATTTCTTATTTTTCAAAATTTAAATAATTTTATTCAAAATTTAAATAATTTTA